AAAGCAAGTCACAGAGGTGGCCCAAGCTCAAGGGGAGGGGAAAGAAACTCCACTTCTTGCTGGGAAGAGTGGCGTCTACTCACAGGCAAGGGAGGAATTGTCATGGCAGTTTGCCACACACTTACAGGCATTCCACCACGTCCCCCAACCTCCCATCTCCTTACCCTTGCTTGCTTGCTTGCTTTTTTTTTGGCGGCTGGTATGGGGATCTAAACCCTTGACCTTGGTCTTATAACACCATGCTCTAACCAACTGAGGCAACCAGCCAGCCCATTGCTTTCTTTTTCTTCATTTTTGCTTATCACCACTTGACACTATCTTAATTACTTTTGTTTATTATCTATATCTCTCAAAAAAATATAAGGTCCATGAGAACTGTGTCTTATTCAACACTGTTACCAGTGCCTAGAGCTGTGCCTAGCACATGGAAGGCCCCCAATATTTAAATGAATGAATGAATGAGTCCCTGGGGATGAGCTTCAGGTTTACCCAGGGTTCTGGGGAGTGGAGTGAAGGTGAAGGCCAGAATGTGTAGATATTCTTAGGGAAGTGCTTTAGGATTTCTGAGAGACTCAGAGAGGAAGGACAGGGAGGAAAGGAGAAGGATTAGGAGTGGGCAGGAGAAATGATAGGAAGACGAAAAGCAGAGGACTGGGAGCTTCATGAGGGACAGTCCTGGTCACTGCTATCTCTCCAGTCTCAACCAACCAGAGCCTGGCACACAGTAGGTGTCCAGAAAGCATGTGCTGAATGAGTGACCTTTCTCCCAAGAGCCTTCACCGACTCCGTTCCCCACCCCCTGACGCCGGGTCAGGCACCCCTCGGCTCCCACACCCCTCTAGGCAACGCCATCCCCACCTTAACCACTGTGGATCATCACTGTGTGGGGGCAGGGTCTGTGTTCCTCACTGGACTCTAAGTCCTGTGGAGGGAGGTTGGGGCTGTTGCAGTCACCTCTGGGTCCCGAACATCAACCACCGGGCCCTTGTTGCATCAATTTCCTCCCCATGAGGCAGGGCTGCCTCTGTCATTGCTGTGTTCCCAGCCTGGCCAGGCACAGAGTGGACACTCAGAAAACACTTTCATAGATGCTGAGACGCACTTCGCTCTCTCTCCCTGCCTTTTTTTTTTTTTTTTTTCTCACATTTTAACAATTCTGAGATCAGAAGGAGTCAAGGTGGAGGATGCCTTACGATCGCTGTCAGCTGGGAAGCCATTGTGCATACGTAGCTGGTCACTGCCCGGATGTGCTAATGGAGTTGCTTTTAATAGCATTATCACGGCTCCATGTGGTAAGGAGGACAGTGCAGTGTGGACTAGCACAGATGTCACCTACTCTGAGGCAAAAGCAACGCCAAAGAGTGGGACTCTGCGTAGTTTTAGGACTAGCTTAGCCAATTTATTTCCCTTTATTTTCCTAGTGGTGTATAATGAAAATCTGTGTTTTCTAAATCAGTTTACAAAAAGCTCTTTCAGTAACTGTAAAAGAAAAATTTTAAGTGATAAGGAAATGTTGTTTCATAGTTTTATTGGTAGCACTTTTTTTCTTTGTTAGGGGGACAGAAAAGGATGTGTCTGACAATCCACCTTCCATTTGATTATGTGTGGAACCCGTTGAAAGAATGAGTGAATAAATGTGTTCGTCTCATTTGTCTCTTCCTCTCTAGTCCAGCCTCAGCTGTTCGGTTTTACATCTGTCTTGGGATGAAGGTGAGAGAACAGAATTCTAGTTTTGGTTAAATGAGTTATCCGGCTGCCTGCTTGTCTCAGTTGATTAGAGCATGGCCTTGTAACCCAAGTCAGGTGTTCGGTTCCCTGAACCAGCCAGCTGCCAAAAGGAGAGGAAAAAAAAAGAGATAAAAAAATGATTTATTCTAACTAATGTGCTTGAAAATAGTGCCTGGCACGGCCCGTGGCTCACTCGGGAGAGTGCGGTGCTGATAACACCAAGGCCACGGGTTCGGATCCCACATAGGGATGGCCGGTTGGCTCACTTGGGAGAGCGTGGTGCTGACAACACCAAGTCAAGGGTTAAGACCCCCTTACCGGTCATCTTTAAAAAAAAAAAAAAAAAAAAAGTAGCGCCTGGCACATTGTAGAGGCTCATGAACGTACACGATTGTGATGTCACTCTGCCTTTGTGTGTGGTCATGTTTCTTGCTCCACCAGCCTGCGAGTTCTATAACAGCTGGGAGAAGCGTGACTCACACCTCTGAACCAGTACGGGGTCTGTCCTAGGATCAAGTCTAAAGAAATGTTTGTGGAATGATCAAAAAACTGAGTGAATTATTGGATAAACAAAAGTTCTCTTTCAACTCAGGGCCTTTGTGTAAGCTGGTCCCTTAGCCTGAGATGCAGTTCCCTGGCAGATCCCCCAGCTCACTCCTACTCACCCTTCAGGTCTCAGCTCAGGGCTGGCTGGTTAGCTCAGTTGGTTGGAATGCAGTGTTATAATACCAAGATCAAGGGTTTAAATCTCTGGAGTGGCCAGCCACACACACACACACACAAAAACCAAACAAAAAAACCCCAAACACACACAAAAAAGATCTCAGCTCAGGTGCTACCTCCTCCAGGAAGCCCTCCCTGACCACCAGGCTGGGTTAGGCATCCCCTTTGTTCTCCCATGACCTTATAGGGTCCCCTATCCTAGTCCTACCCACTCTGGGTCATCATTATCTTGGGATGGATGTGACTCCTCCACTGGACTCTGAGCCCCATGGGACAGCCTGGGGCTGTCTTGGTCATTGCTGCATCCCCAGAACCCAGCCCAGGAGGGGTCTAGAGAGGTGTCGAATGTTTGATGAATGAAAAGGGAAAAGGGAAGAGGCTTGCTAGGTGGGCAAGGGTGTAACCTCTCTGGCTGGTGCTGTCAGCAGCTGGCAGGGGTGCCCTGGAGCATGCCGGTCTGCATCGAATGCATGTGAGCATATGCCTGTGGCTCTGTCTCTGCCTGCAGTCACCCTGCGCTGTGACCATCTCCCTCTCCTCAGACCTGCAGCACCAAGGGCGGTGCCTGGGTCTGATGCACCTCTGTATCCCTGGCTCTGAGCTGGAGAAGGGAGGAGGTTCACATATGGATGCAGTACATTGGGTGCAGTCTGTATACATTGTGTGTAACTGTGTCTCTTAAGGTCTGCAAGTCTGTGTGTGCCTGAATGTGTGTGTGTGTTACCAGCTGGCCTGTACAGGGATCAAACCCTGGACCTTGGTGTTATTGGCATCACGCTCTAACCAACTAATTAATGGCTAACTGGCCGTGAATGTATATGAGTCTGTCTGAGTTTTGCTTTTCTTTAATAACTGTATCTGAGGTCTTTCTGTATCTTTTCTTTTCCTCTTGGGTCAGGTGTGTGTGTTTGTGCATTTGGGGAAGGAGTCTTGGGTGTCTGCTAGTCTGTATGTGTTTTGTGTCCGGGAATGTCTTAGAATGTTTCTTCATCTTTTAGTCTCTATGCGTTTGTGTCAGTCAGTGACGTATGGACACAGGAAATGGATGAGTCTGTGTTTCTCTCTTGCCTCTGGCTTAGGAACTCTGGACTATGTGGGCAGCAACTCTGGGTGTGGCCTCGAGCTAGTCTGTTCCCTTCCCAGGCCTCTTTTTCCTCCTCACTCGTTTTCAGAGATTTCTTTCTAGAACTGACCTGTGGATGGTCAGGCAAATCCTCTGAGTAGCAGAGGCCTGTGGTACATCTCAGAAACGGGGATGCGGGAAGGCCCTGCGGAGCCTGGCCTGGGCAGAGAGGAAGCCAGGAGGGGAGACAGGGCCGAGACAGCTGTAAAAGGACTAGAGGGCAGGGGGGAGGCCTGGGAGCTGCAGGGGCAGGGGACAGGGTGCAAGGAGCTGCTGGAGCCTGGGGGGTGTCCCCCAGTGGGCTGGGTTTTGGTCTGTCTAGGTCTTCACCTTCTTCCAGGTGTGTCTCGGCCTCCACCTCTTGATTCCCATCTTTAAGGCTCTGTGCCTTTTCATTCTCTCTGTCACTTGTGCCTCTGACTCTGTGGTTGTCTCTGACTTGGTCTCTTGTCCACTCTTTCTTCCCGCCTGACTTCCCCTCTGTTCTTTTCTTGGGGATTCTCTTCCCCCACCTAACCCCCTTTTTCTCAATGGGTCTTTGCCTCTCCCTTTTTTCATTCATTTCTCTCTCCACTTCCATTTCCTTCTTTGTCACACTGATGCCATCTCAAAAGGTCATGAGGAAGCAGAGGAAGGAGAGAGCAGAATGGAGAAAGGGGAGGACTGGCTCACTCGGGAGAGCGTGGTGCTGACAACACCAAGTCAAGGGTTAAGATCCCCTTACTGGTCATCTTTGTAAAAAAAAAAAGGTGTTGTGGAGGAGTTGGCCTCTGGGCTGGGATTTGAAGGATGGGCTGGGGGGACGGTGGGAGGGGATATTAAAATTCCAAGGAAGGAAGAAGGCCTGAGCTCGGGGAGTCTGGATACAGATTCACAGCTGGTGTGGAGCTGCCCTGCCGCCACCATGGGCTGTGAGTCCTGGCCAATGCCCAGCACAGGTGTGCTGGCAGGGACCATGTGGGTGGCCTCAGACTCGGCCCCTCCCCATGGCTTCTTCTGGTCCCTGCCACCACTGGCCAAGCCAACTCGCTACTCTCAGAGCATGCACAACACCTCGTGAAGAAGGTAGGTGAGAAGATGGTGCAGAGAAGGCCAATGAATGGCCTGTTTAGGGAACTGAGAGTCCCCTGGATGGAGGGTGGGGTGGTGGGCAGAGCCAGGTCCTCAGATGCCAGGCTGTGAATTTAGGACTTTGTCATGGAGGACATGGTGGCTTTTGAACAAATCTCAGTATTAGATCTCTTTGGGGCCCCTATGGGGGACTGAGGGCCCAGTGTGACTGAATGGTGGCTCCATCAGCTGCTGGGGGGTGGGGTCCCCTCCCCACATCAGGGCCCCGCCCCTTGACATCACTGTCACATTATTGCACTAGGGCTGGCTGACCAATAAGACGCTGCTTGCTATTATAATGGGTCCTAGCAACAGGGTCTGACTCTGGTCTAATGGGAGGAGGCCCCACCAGCAGGGAGAGAGTGAGGCGAGAGGGAGAGCCTGCAGGGCAGGTGAGTCCCCCGAGGGCAGGGGTCTCCAGCTGGGCCCTGCGGTGGGTGGAGGCAGGGGCTTCCATTCCCATTCCCAACCCCCTTAGTCCTAATTCCACCTGCCTTGGCCTTGCTGCTGGGTCCTGTCCCAGGCTCCTACTCTTTCTCCTAAGGCCATACGCTGAGATGGGTTAGGGAGAGGGCATGGGGGGAGTGGGCACAGCACTGGGGAAATGCCCCACCCAGGATAGGAGGATCAGCTCTGGCAGGAACAATGTAATGACGGCCCAGTATAAAACGAAAATGTAGGGCCCCGTTTCAGATATTATAAAGAATTTGCTCAGCATCAGCAGGACACTAAACCAAACACTGAGCCCTATAGGGCACAAGGCCCCATAAAACTGGCCCCTTCCCCAGGTCACCCCACAGACTCCTGACAGTGCCGACCATCATGCCCATTATCCAGAGAAGCAAACAGGCCCAGAGAGGGGCTTCATTTTGCTTCAGGTCACACAGAAAATTAGTAGCAGAGATAGGATGTGAGTTGGGGCCTGTGAGACTCCAAAGCCCCCTTGTCACCTCTCTGAGGGTAACGGAGACGAAAAGGATTACTCAAAGCCCATTTCTTCAGGGCAATGAGAGGCTCGAAGGGGTTAATCCCAGGAGGAATTTGCTCAAGAGAGGAGGATCCCAGGAGTAACCCCAAATAAGGTTTTCTCTCAGTTTTTATTGTCCAGGCAAGAAAGTTACAGAGAAGAACAAAGGTGGTTAATCAGTCATAGTGTAAGCAATTTACTATTTATGGAGTCAAAAACACTAAGCTATGTGAAGTACAAAGAGAAACAATGAGATAATCGTCATGGCAACACTTAGTTCCCCAAGAAACTGAAAGAAATAATTGAAGGCAGATGAGGAACATAACCCAAGCTTAACCTTGAAGCCTTTAGCTCACATACTTTCCCATCATTAGCTTTAGCTGCGCCAAGGACGACTGCCCTTAGAGCAAGCACTTTTGCTGTGTTACAATTTCCTTATCTACAACAGACTTTAGTCCTGAGAAAGTTTTCTGTCTTTTCCCAAGTTTAGCATTTCTATGTGTAATTCTAAAAAGTTAGGCTATTCCTTAAACTACAGGGCTTTGGCCCTGCTAAAACTAAGGACTGTGGTCCTACTAAGATAAAGGTTAAGGCCCCGTGAAATACATGTGCTTTATTAATGTTAGTATCTCCACACCCCTAACTCACGCCAAAAATGTACCCCGGGTTCTTGAGGAAGAGGGAGTGGTGCGGTTCCAGAAGGATTTCCTTCATATCCTTGCTTTCTCTCTCCCTGCCCCATGCCAAGTCCCAGGAGTCGTGAACTGCTCCCTTCTCCTCCACAGACGCTGAGGATCACGCGTCCTGTGACTCTCCCCTGTTCCCCTGCCACTCTCCGAACCACTGGTCACCATGGCTACTTCGAAGTTGCCCATGGTGTGTGGGGAGGAGGAGACGACCATCCTCATGGCAAAGGAAGAGCTGGAGGCCCTGCGCACAGCCTTTGAGTCAGGTGACATTCCCCAGGCTGCCTCTCGCCTCCGGGAGCTGCTGGCCTCCTCGGAAAGCACCCGTCTGGAGGTGGGCATCACAGGCGAGTCGGGAGCTGGCAAGTCATCCCTCATCAACGCCCTGCGTGGCCTGGGAGCTGAGGACCCCGGCGCAGCTCTCACAGGCGTTGTGGAGACCACAATGCAACCCTCGCCCTATCCGCACCCACAGTTTCCTGACGTGACCCTGTGGGATCTGCCAGGGGCTGGCTCTCCGGGCTGCTCGGCTGACAAGTACCTGAAGCAGGTGGCCTTTGGCCGCTATGACTTCTTCCTGCTGGTCTCCCCCCACCGCTGCGGGGCTGTTGAGACCCGCCTGGCCTCAGAGATCCTGCGCCAGGGCAAGAAGTTCTACTTTGTGCGCACAAAGGTGGATGAGGACCTGGTGGCCACGCGAACCCAGCGGCCCTCAGGCTTCAGCGAGGCCGCTGTCCTGCAGGAGATCCGAGACCACTGTGCCGAGCGCCTGCGGGCGGTCGGGGTGACCGACCCCCGCATCTTCCTCGTGTCCAACCTCTCACCGGCCCACTACGACTTTCCGATGCTCGTGTCCACCTGGGAGCGCGACTTGCCTGCCCACCGGCGCCACGCTGGCCTGCTGTCGCTGCCCGGTATCTCACTGGAGGCTCTGCAGAAGAAGAAGGACATGCTCCAGGAGCAAGTGCTCAAGACGGCCCTGGTGTCCGGCGTTATCCAGGCCCTGCCCGTGCCAGGGCTGGCGGCCGCCTATGACGACGCCCTGCTCATCCGCTCGCTGCGCGGCTATCACCGCAGCTTCGGCCTGGACGATGACTCGCTGGCCAAGCTGGCTGAGCAGGTGGGCAAACAGGCGGGGGACCTGCGCTCCGTCATCCGCTCCCCGCTGGCTAATGAGGTCTCGCCTGAGGCTGTCCTGCGGCTCTACTCACAGTCGTCCGGTGGCGCCATGCGGGTGGCCCGTGCCTTTGAGAAGGGCATCCCTGTGTTTGGTACGCTGGTGGCTGGTGGCATCAGCTTTGGCACTGTCTACACCATGCTCCAGGGCTGTCTCAATGAGATGGCTGAGGATGCCCAGCGGGTCCGCATCAAAGCCCTTGAGGAGGATGAGCCCCAGACTGAGGTCAGCTTGGAGGCAGCTGGTGACAATGGTGTGGAAAAGCGGGGATCCAGGGAGGGAGGCTGCGAGGACGCCCCGCTCTCGACCCGCCGGAAGCTCGGCCTCCTTCTCAAGTACATTCTTGACAGCTGGAAGAAGCGTGACTTAGAAGAGAAATAAAAGTGCAGCTCCCAGCCCCTGCCTCACCCACAAACGAAGCCTTAACAAAACCAGCCAACTAACCAAAGAGCCGGTGTGGTGAATTGAGAGCTGCAGTTGCTGAGGGCGGAGTGTGGAGGGGGGATCTGGAGGGAGGGGCGAGAACTCACCATCTTGAGGGAGGCAGGTGGGCCCGAGTCCAAGAGGGATAGACCAAATGGGGATAGGAGTTGACCTTGGGGTGAGAGGTTCAAGGTATACATGGTGGGCCCAGGGCTGCTCGGTGGTGTCACTCTCCCTGGTCCCCAAGTGATCAAGGGGGATTTGTGTGGTGGGCAGCACAGCCTGGTTCCCAGACAGGAGCCAATCGTCAGTTCACGTGGGTGGTTGAGTGGCGATTGGGTCCTACTAAGGTGCTTTAGATTCACTCTTATGTCCCTTTCTGAGAACCCAAGTGTCCCAAAGGCTGCCTCTGGAGAGGCAGCCAATCGGGACCTGGGATTGGCACAATGGTGCCTAGCAACTGTGTGAAACAGGTGGGAAGAGCAGGTGTCCCGGGCCCGCTCTGCCACCTGCGAGTGATCATTGGTGGGAGTGAGGGAGAGAGGCTAGATGGCCGTGGGGCTCACCTCCATGTGGCCTGTGGTGAGAGGGCGAGCGTATGGTTCCATGAGCATCACAGAAGAGAGGAGGCCATAGGCTCAACTCCACGGCCCAGAATGAGTCTCGTTTCAGAAAGACTGCAGGTGTCTCTCTGAGTGTGAATATGCGTGGTAAGATTTCTGGTGTGTCTGTGACTGGGAGTAATCTTGTAAGTCTCTGTGATTTTTATGCCATGGGTCTAAGACTGTGAGTTGTTTGCTGAGTCTTTGTGTGGTTGTGTATGTGTGGCTGGCAGGGGTGTGTTTGCGTGCATATACTGGAATTGTGCTGGAAGGCTGTGGGTCTGAGAGTGAGAGCGACTGTGCATTGGGGTTTGTGAAGCTGCATGTGGCTGTGAGTGACAGGGGGTACATGCAACACAATGGGTGAGGGTATCTGTATCTGGCCCAAGTGTCCCTGCGAGACCAAATCCTAAGACCAAACTTACAAGGCGCCTTGCTCTGTGCTTGGCTCTTGGAGGGATGTGAAAGTGAATCATCATATACATCGTATACACCCTCATACCTGTCCAAGCCTAAACTCTTACCTGCTGAGTCAAGGATCACACATGTTTAAAAAATTAAAAGAACTACCAGACTGAGGTGTTTGGACAGGACAGGGGCTGCCCCAAGGGCCTCTGTGGGCTCAGACAAGGGTCAGGTAAGGATTGGATTTATGTGCAGGGAAGAGGGGGAGTTTCCACAGTATGGGCAAAGGGATGGCAGCCAGAACAGGGCAGGGCTAATGCTGGGAGCCAGTGAGTTTGCCTTGTGTAAAAATAAGAAAAACTGCCAAAGACAGAGGAGCTGGGAGGGCAGCAGCTTCCCTGAGGCTTGAGGGCCTTGAGGATGGGAGCTGATTCACCACCCAACACAGCTGGTTGGGCTAAGGGCCCAGAAATGTTTCAGTGAAGAACGCTTCCTCCTGGGCTTGGGATCCTGGGGGCAGCAGGCAGTATAACCCTGGCAGCACAAGATGAGAACTCACATCCAGGGCTCAAGGAACTCAGAGGGGCAGGGGGAAGATGGATGGGACTGGAAAAACTGGCCAATGACTGCGAGCGGTGGGGGAGATTCAGGGTCCTGGGAGGTGGAGGAGACTCACCTTCCAGCTACAGCAGCTGAGGAGCAGTGATATGACCTGGGTCTCCCTTGGGAGAGTCTCCTGGATGCCTGGCTGGGGTGGAGGGGAATGTAAGACAGCAGCCGTCTTAGGGGGAAACAGTAACCGGGATCTGAGTCCTCTCCCGGGCTTTGCGTCCTCTGCCATGTGGGGTTGAGGAAGGATGGAGTCCAGGATCCAGCCCATGTGGTTACATCTTGGGCAAACCCTCCAAGGTTCATGAAGGTCATAAGGCAGCTCTGGAGGCTATGTACAAGGCGGGTGACAGAGGGGACCAAGGCACACGGAGTTGGCCTCATCCCTAAGTGCTCACATATATTCCCGTGGATTTTTCCAGGACCGGTGATGGTTCTAGCCTCATTTGGAGGCCTCAAATTACCCCTGACTCTAGGGACAGTCCCTAAGAAGGTGGTCTGCTTTTACCTTTAGGATTAGAGGGTTCCCTTTGCTGAAGGGCTCCTGTGTTTTGCAAAAGGACTCCCCTTTTCTCGGGAGGCCTCTCCATTGACTACTTGGTGTTCACATGGGCATTTCTGCACCAAAGAGAGTATAGGTGATCATGGTAGAGAAGTCCCAGACCCCCAGATGCCCAAGACTGATGGTCCCTTCCAAATCCATGCTCCAGTCCAGCTCACGTCCCTCTTCCCTGTGGACCCTCAGACTTTATCCTAAACACAGGACTTCCTGGCCTCGCTGGGGCTGGTATGGAAAGGCCAGGAATATGACATGTGAAGGTCTCCCCTCTCCTCTTCACCCACCTCAGCCAACTGGTTCCCACATCCTGTCCCCATCCCCCATCCTGACCCCCTCAGCCCATGCCAGTTCAGGCCTCGCCCTCTCCTGCCACCTCTTGCCGCAGCCTCCTGCTTCCTCTCCCAGGTTCCCCATAAGGCCCCAGAAGGATCTTCCTAATGTCCACAGTGGCCCTCTCCCTTCCCTGCTCAAACCTTCCGTGGCTACTCTGAGATAAAACCAAGCTGCTCAGGCTGATGTTCCAGGTCCTTCCCAAGCTGGCCTCTGCCTGAACCTCACCAAGAGTAAAACCCTGAGTCTTCCTAAAACTGCAGAGCTGAGAAGATTCCAAGGAGTCGGCTCTCCATTTCACAGGTAAGAAGACTGACACCTTTATCCTGTCCCATCCCTTACAGAAGGGGGAAATAAAGGTTGCAGCAGAGATGTGACCTGCCCCATGTGACCCAGCAAGTCCCTGGCACAGTTGGGTCTAGACGTGATCGTGCAGTCCCAGGGTGTCTGCCCTGGCTGTCCCTGTCCATCATACTAGTGAGAACTCCAAGACAGGACAGGGCTTGACAAGGTGTGCACCACAGTTGAGCAGACGTAAGTAGTCAGAAGCTAGGCAGCACGGGTGCAATGGGCAAATGTCGCACAGATGCAGCAGACCCACTGGCCCTGTCTTTTCCTTCAGGTCTAGGACTGCAGCACCCAAAGAGGTCTTAGCACTTAGTGGGCACTCAACTGTGCAATGATCTGGAGGTTTTGTATGGCAAAAAGATCCAAGGGAGCTGGTCTATGTCCTGGCTCTGGGGCAGGCTGAAAGATATGTAGCAAGTGATTTTTACCTTTCTAAGCCTGTTTCCTACTCTGTAAAACAGGGACTTAATAAAACTATGCCTGGGGCCGGCCCGTGGCTCACTTGGGAGAGCGTGGTGCTGACAACACCAAGTCAAGGGTTAAGATCCCCTTACCGGTCATCTTTAAAAAAAATAAAATAGGGCCGCCCCGGTGGCGCACTGCTATAATGCGCCGCTTGGGAGTGTGGTGGCGCTCCCGCCGAGGGTTCGGATCCCACATACAGACCGGCCGCTCACTGGCTGAGCAAGGCATGGGAGCAACACCGAGGGTTGCGATCCCGTTGCCGGTCCTGGTCCGGTACGGGGGTGACACTGAAGGTTGCGATCTGTTGCCGGACGCGGAAAAAGACAAAAAGGAAAAATAAATAAATAAATAAAATAAAATAAAATTATGCATGTGGTTAGAATAGTGGCTGGCCCAGAGTAAATGTTAACTATAATCAGTGATGATGAGGGTTTCAGCTCTTTCATTGCCCTATATTATTGATAATTGTGCCTGGTGCATGGTAAATGCCAAAAATTTATTTAAGAGTTTGAATTCTAGAATCAGAAGACCTCAGTCCCATTCCCAACAACCAATGCACCAGCCGGCAGCCTCGGGCATGTTAAATCATCCCCAGTGCCAAATGAGGATAGTAAGTGAATCTCTTTTTCCAGGCTGTTGTGAGCCAGGAGTACCTGGGCAGTGATGAATAAAGTTAACTAAAATAAAGCATTTAGCTTGGCAAATTGTTACACTCTTAGTACTATTACTGGTGATGCCGCAAACGCTTTGGGCATTGTTGTGTTTTCTATTATTATGGTTTCTTTTAAATTTGGCGTTGAGGTTTCCCTCTGGAGAGTCAAGACAGCCACTCTCTAGGAGAGCCCTCACCAGGGGAGTTAGGTTCATGTGTGAGTCAGGGGAGACACAACAAGGAGGTGAAACCAAAATGCCTAGAAGAAATTTATTCCTCACAGGCTCCAGAGAGGTTAGAGGTGCCTGTGGAAGGGAGGTGACAGAAAGCTCAACCAGTGGGGGACAAAGTGAGTGAGCGAGAGAGACAGAGGTAGGGAGAGGACCTGTGGCCCTATGCCTTTATTAAGGTATGTGGACATTATCCCTTAGGCTTTCCTGTGGGAGTTGTGGACTGGCAATTGTAAATATATTTACATTGGCATGTAAATAAGCTCAAAGGGGGGAACTTATTTCTATGACTCTGATGTCGACCATTAGGTTTTGTCATAGTCAGCTGCTGTGGGAGGGTTGGGTTTGGGGTCAGTGAGAGGAGGAACGAGTGGGCTATGTCACAAACAACCGCAAGGTGAGGGGAAGTTTCGACTAGGCCAATGTGACGAGGTATGACCGGATTTCAAACAACTTATGCCTGAAAATGGATGCTGAGGCAGCAACTATATTAAATTTATGACAGTATCTAGATAGAGAGGGCAATAGAGAGGGAAACTCAGAGTGAAGATACTCCCTTACCTGTCTTGTTGAAGGCCACCAAGTTCTGAAGACAGAGAACTAGGATCAGGCAGCCCATGGCAAGCAAAGCCCAGCCAAGCCTCAGCCAGTTAAAGACACTAATGCTGTCACTGGAGGAGGCCAGGTCTCTAAAGGAAGCCTTCAAGACAGGGAACCTGCTGGCAATAGTTGCCAAGTTGCAGTCCACACTTCATTTTCTGGAGAATGTCAGGCTGGACACTGGCATTAATGGGGACAGGCTCAGGCAAGTTGACCTTTGTCAA